CGTAAACTTTTCATCATATTTCATAGTAAGTTCAGGAGGCAAAGATGAGCATCTACATCATGACCAACTTGGAAAAATTGATAAGTTGGTTCAAAAGCTTGTGCTTTTAAGCGAATACAAAATATCAATATAAGTTATTTAAATTCTCATGTCATCATGTGGCATTAGTAGGGAGAAAATTGCTTCTTCGGCCCATGCAACCCTTTTTACACTTATTTCCTTTCCTTTCCTTTCTTAGATCTTTTGTGTCTTGCTGCATATTTTTAAACAATCAGAAAACATTCAGTTATGTGTTAAATTTTAAATACACTAAAATTGCAATATTAAGTATATTTTAAGTATAATTCCAAATTTCAAATATATTTTAAAGTATACAAGTACATTTTAAGTATTTTTTTTTTTCATAGGGTCAATGTAATCTATTAATAGCCTTTTTTTGGTATTCTTTTCTGTTTCGGCATCTTATTTACGTTTTTAAAAAATTAACCCGCTAATAACAGATCAAATTTGTTATCATTATCGTATAAGGATTAATCATATGAAAGAATTCCACCATAATATATCTGAATTATAAAATTTAATGCAAAATATTTATATAATAGACGTTTATAATACAATTTGAAAGATTTCTAATAAAATATTTAGTAATTTCGTTTCTTTATTATTAGAAACGAAACCTCGTAAAATATGGAGAACGGTAGCATATTATACTCGTGTGACGCTCAGAATATTTTCACAATTGAGTCTTCATTGTCTTCTAATAATTCAGGCTCAATTTCTGAAAAAATTGAGTAAACAATTTTCTGTAATTTCTTTTTTAAAAAAAATAATCGTACTAAAAATTCGAGATAAACGTAACGTGAAGTCCAAATTATAAATAATTATACGTATTTTAACAGACCAAGAGCAAGCAGATGATAACGCAATAAACTGCTTATGGAATTATCCTTCTATGTAAATTTTTCCAATGCAATTAATAATAATTGATTAATTGATGTTAAGCACAACATTCATCAAGGGAACTAATCATTTTTATTTATAATTTGAAATACTTCGTAATCTTCTATAGAAAACTTGTTTTCTGTATCTCTTATCTTTTTTTCATAATAAACTAACTTACAAACATTATCATCATAATCTTTAGTATCACTAGACCCATATATAACAAGATCCTTACCAAATGATGGTCCATAATTTTTACCATAATTTAACGCAGAATCAACTTCCTTTACATAACTTATCTTTTCATCTTCAATAATATTTTTCTTGTTCTTAAGAGAAAATATAAAACTATCTTTAGCTTCACCCCAATTTTTAGTAGTTTCCCAAATAATAGGATTATATCCACCGAGAATTTCATCTGTTCCTTTTATTTTAATGAATGTAACAGTTTTAAATTTATATTCACATAAAGAATGAAATATGCTAGGACTAAATCCATCACTACTTCCTCTTAATAATAATTTGAATTCATATGGTAAATATAATCCACTTAGAGCGCATTTACAATTTTCATTTATTTTATCAATCCATTTTGAAACTAAAGAAGCAATCTTTATATTAACGATTTTTGAATCAAGTTTTCCACGTCTAGGAGGTAAATAATCATTACTTGGTTCACTCTTAAAATCCAAATAATATTTTAATAAATCTTCATAAAGCTGAGGTTTTAACAATTTTTTATATGGATGAACTTTTTCCAAAAAATCTTTGGAAGATAAACTATAAAATCTAATCAAAGGTAAACAACATCGCAAAGTGTTTTCCATTGTTTTGAAATCATCATCTGTCCAAGTTGAAGGATATGAAACAAGCGTAGGATTTTTTGTAAGTCCCCATTTTAAAACATGTTCCCAAACTTCGATTTCTTTCATTTGTAAATCATCCCTTTGAAGAAGTGAGATTAAAGATTTTTCAGGAAGTGAAGTGAAATCGAGTAATTCAAAAACCTTGTCAGGAGATTCCGCCATAAAATTTGTACAAAATTTCTGAAGTCTTAACAAATTATTAGATTGAAAGCTTATTCGATGAGCAAGTTCGAAATGTTGTTCTATCCAATTCGCTTTGTTATCAATTAAATATGTTTGTAAGTAATCAACTAATTCGTTAAGTAATAATTCATCTGCAGCAACCAATACTTTAAAAATATCTGAAGTATTCTGTTCATTCAATGAAAGAATTCCACCATAAATATATCTAGTAAAATATAAATTTTATTTTTAACCTATAAATAATATGTGAAAGTATACTAATATATTGAATAATATTTATAACTTACTTTAATATAATTTGAAAGATTTCTGGTAAAATATTTGGTAATTTTATATGAGACAAGTTACCACTATTATTATTTTTTTTATTATTAGAAGCCAAAGCTCGACGTAAATATGGAGAACGATGACACAAAATATTCATGTGCGCACGAAATATTTTTATATTTGGGTCTTTCCCAACTTCAATTGTAACATCATAATATTCACTATCTTCTAAAATTTTAATATAATTTCGGCTTAAATTCTCAAAAAATTGGGTAGACATTTTTTGCGGTAAAAAAAAAAAAAAAAAATTATGGCTTAGATTCTAAAAAAACCGGACATGTATATAATGATGATTGCTTACTTATTTAGTAATATAAACTGTAAGTACTGTAATACATTTTTTTAAAGTAATGTGAACGAAATCAAAATAATTATTGAAAGAACTAAATACGGCGAACAATTGAATTTACGTAGGTTGAGGAGAGCTGGATTTAAATTTTAAAGGTCAAACGTTTACAAATTATATAATTTATGTAATACATCACTGGTTGCGCTATTTTTACTCAAGTAATTTTAATCTTATGAATTATAATTTTATAATTTGGAATACTTCATAATCTTCTATAGAAAATTTGTCTTCTGTATCTCTTATCTTTTCTTCGTAATAAACTAACTTACAAACATTATCATCATAATCTTTAGTGTCACTAGACCCATATATAATAAGATCCTTACCAAATGATGGACCATAATTTTTACCATAATTTAACGCAGAATCTATTTGCTTTACACGACTTATCTTTTCATCTTTAATTAAGTTATTCTTATTCTTAAGAGAAAATATAAAACTATCTTTAGCTTCACCCCAATTTTTAGTAGTTTCCCAAATAATAGGATTATATCCACCAAGAATTTCATCACCACTGACAAAAATTTTACTTGGATTTTGTAAGAAATTAAATTGAAAATCGATTGGTTTTTTTACTTTAATAAATGTAACAGTTTTAGGTTTATTTTCACATAAAGAATGAAATTTGCTAGGACTGAATCCATCACGACTTCCTCTTAATAATAATTTGAATTCATATGGTAAATATAATCCATTTAGAGCACATTTACAGTTATCATTTATTCTATCAATCCATTTTGAAATTAAAGAAGCAATCTTTATATTAATGATTTCTGAATCAAGTTTTCCATGTCTAGGAGGTAAATAATAAATACTTGGTTTACTCTTAAAATCCAAATAATATTTTAATAAATCTTCATAAAGCTGAGGTTTTAACAATTTTTTATATGGATGAACTTTTTCCAAAAAATCTTTGGAAGATAAACTATAAAATCTTATCAAAGGTAAACAACATCGTAAAGTATTTTTCATTGTTTTAAAATCATAATCAGTCCAAGTTGCAGGATCTGAAGTAAGTGTAAAATTTTTTTCAAGTCCCCATTTTATTACATATTCCCAAATTTCGATTTCTTTCATTTGTAAATCATCTCTTTGAAGAAGTGAAACTAAGGAAGTGAAGCGAAGTCAAGTGATTTAAAAACCTTTTCAGGGAATTTGGTCATAAAATCTGTACAAAATTTTTGTAGGTTTAATAAATGATTAGATTGAAAACTTGTTCGATGAATAAGTTCAAAACGTTGTTCCATCCAAGAAGATTTCTTTTCAATTAAATATGTTTGTAAATAATCAACTAATTCATCAAGTTGTAATTCATCTGCAGCGACCAACACTTTGAGAATATCGGAAGTATCCTGCTCACTCAATAAAAGGTTTCCACCATAAATATATCTATTAAAAATTTAAAATAAAATTAAAAAAAAAAAAAGAAAAATACTATTAAAAAATTTATCAAAATCTATAACCTACTTTAATAAAATTTGAAAGATTTCTGGTAAAATATTTGGTAATTTTAAATGAGATAATCCACCATTATTATTATTTTTATTAGAAGTTAAAACTCGTCGTAAATATGGCGAACGGTAACACAAAATATTCATATGTGCACGAAATATTTTGACGGTTGGATCTTTTCCAACTTCAATTGTAATATCATAATATTCATCATCATCCAATAATTCAATATAATTTTGACTCAATTTCGAAAGAAATTGTTTAGACATATTGTAGTTTATAATTTATTTAGGGGAGTTACTGCAACTTTTGCTTATTAAATATTTAAATTTTAATAAAAGTCGATCGGTTACTAAATTAAGTGCAAAGCTTTATATCATCTGGCGCAAGTTGAACATATGATCCAAATGATTCAAATTATGCTTTTATGTTAACCAAATTAATTTCAAGCGAGTTTTTAACTTTATGTTATGATCAAACTAAATTAATGATCAGAATATCAACAATCCCTGACAGAGTTAAAAACCCGAGCCCAACGGTAAATAAAAACGAACAATTACATGATAATTTTGACGAAGGCAAAGAGACTAAATTATTAATCAACCGCCTAAAACAATATCCCGAAATTATAGATTGTGTGAGGTACTAGATTAATTCCCAAACGATATTCTCAAACACATATCCTTAGCCTCAGGATTAGACGTAACGGTTATAGATGGTTTCAATTACTTATCGACTTAATAATTATTCACACTTTAAATAGAATATTCTGGATTAAATAGTATATTACAAGTATGAATAAAAGTGAATACAGTATACAGTATAACATTAATATATTATATAAAGTGAACAATATACATAAATGAAATAAACAAACAAAATTCATTATTTAAGGATCACAAAAAAAGTTATTTGGGATTGGCTAGTATATGAAAACCATCTGAGTGATCCGAGATGGTGACGCAAAAAATTAGGGAATCGGAAAAATTTGAGAAAAATAACTGAAATAAATGTTATGTATTACAAATTTTGTGATGACCGAGCTCACCGAGTTCAGATTAATTACATTGAGTTAATTCTAACATTGGACAAACATTTAAACAATTACGGTTTATAGTTATGATACGATTTGTAAATTCGAAAATTTATTTTTTATTCTTATAAATCAATTAACCAAGTAATATTTATTTTTTTATAATTTTGAAATCATTTTGGTCACAGACCTAAAATGATTCATATTAACTCTATTAATAAAATGTTCGTATATATTATAAAGTATGGATTAAAAAAATTATTACATAAATTATACAATTATTATTATTTATATTATTAAATTTTACAAATTTCAGCTTTAGAAATAACTCTGCCTTGATTACTTATATATATACAACCTCCAATAATATTTTGTGAACCATCTAATTCTAATTCGTCAAAAGTGGTCAATAATTTAGCACCATTTTTGTTAATGGATAAATTTCTTTGTATATTAACTGTTAAGTCTTTGAGTATTTCCCCATTTTTATATATGACAAATTCATAATTTAATGGATTTGTATCATGAATATTAAACCATTGACCGTAAGCCACAGTTTTAGTTACGGTCGAGTCTTTTGTATTGGAAGAAATAAATGTTAATGTACCAATGAATTCTTCTTTTTTACGATTTGATTTACGAAATTGAACACGGGCTGTTTGACGTTTTGTTGTTTCAAGTGGGGTTATTTGTGTGGAATGAGTTCTGATATTTAATGAATTTAACAATGCACTTGTCATCATTATTGGAAAGTGAATTAAATTTGAGAGAAATGTGGTTTTCATTTTTACAAGCTGATTTTCTTTATATCAAACGGGAGGTTTTTTTTTTAAATAAATAGATTTTTTTTTGTTATTTGTTAAATTATAGCGACGTTTGTCGTTGTGTTTAAAATAAATTCTTATATTCAAAAAAAAATTGTTTTAAATCAAAAGTTATTTTGAAATAAAAAATTGGAGTGAGGATTTTCCTCACTTTTTATATGTTTTCCCCGGTTTTGCCAAAATAAAAAAAAATATTTATATTCTTTACTTGATAAAATAAACAAATATTTAAAATGAAAATATTTACACAACAAAAATATACATGTATGCAAGTTTACAATAAATGTATGCTTATTTGCTGCACAAAAAAAAAAAATACCGAGTTAAACGCACATTACGAAAAAAAAATAACGCCACATATATTCATTGTTCATTTTGCCCATTGCATTGCATAATTTTTTTTGTTATTTGCATATATAAATACTTTTATATACAAAATTAATTTTATTCGTTGGACTTAAATCAGACGGCTGTTATTGTATGTACTTCGATTGAATAATAACAACGAAAGATGAGAAATTTCTCTAGTTTAAAAAAGACCAGCAACGGATTATCAGCAGATCATCTAAGTCGCTAATTGGCGAAATTGCTTGTGAGAGAGAATTACTCATCTTTTTGTGCCGAGGGATACGCAGGGTCCTTTATTAATATAGTCAGATTATTTGTTAAGATGATAACATGTGTTAATTTTGATAAATAATATTAAAGATATTATTATTTTTCGTTATTAGCGTGTTTTGAATCACGAATCGTAGTTACATAGGACTTAATATCCATGCAATGTAACAAACAAAAAGTAAAAAAATGTACGCCAAAACAAAAATTTTCTGTTCGTTGACTTCAAAATAAAGTTCAAAACGTGAAAATTTTTTTTTTTTTTTAATTCTCCTTGCAAGAATTTGAAACTTGTGCATAAAAAAGATGAAACTGTTCAACATTTAACAGAACTTTATTAAGATGAAATATCGGTGAGTTAAAGGCTGTTCATTAAGGGGCCAAGGAATGGATTTTTAGCTTATATATTTTTAGCAAAGTGCCTTGGCCATTAATTAAAAAAACAAATATGTACGCTTGTTTATATGCAATGCCCAAAAGATTGTACATCTTTGACATATTTAATTAAAAGATACCATTATAAAAATTTTGTAAATCATAGCCTTTAAAATTTATAATGAGTTAATACGATCGTTACACACAAATAGTTGAAAAAAGGGTTCTTAAGTATTTTATTTTCACTCGTTGAACATGAGTGTTATAATTTTAGATTCCTATAACTCATGATCTAATAGCATGATGCGCGTGAGCAATTTCTGGATAGTGACGAGATTTAGTTGGCTTTCAAGTAGCATGTGAATATCTTAACGATTAATTAATCATGCTTAAATTAGGTCACATTAATTTTGTAATATTTTATTATGGATAATTACTAAAACTACTACATTTTATATAGACGATCTTAAATTCTAATATGTAAAAAATTTAGGTGCTATGATAGTATTTATATGGTACACACTATTATTATTTATACAAATAAAAAAAATATTTTTTTTTGTTCTCCGTTTGATTCGTCATAAAGTTCTAATACATTAATCTATTTGGTGATTATTCTTTAATATAAAGGACTTGCTATATCGGAGAAAAATGAAGGATGGCACATACGTCGTAAATTATTCTTTAATGAACTTATTACAGTAAATTCCTTCCTCCATGCGTTGGTTATATGAACGAATCCAATGTTGAAGAATATATTCAGGACTTGAAATAGTTTAACTATCGGATTTAATTGGACTGTGGTATAAGGTGTAATTAGAGCATCCAGATGATTTCTTCATCTTTACAGAAACATGTCAAACCAAGACGAAGTCGTGACTAAACCATGGCCAACTTGTAAACAATCAGGAAAAGAGTTAATCACATGTTAGTCATGAGTTAGTCATGAGTTAGTTACGGCTTCGTCATAGGTTTAGTTACTGGATATTAAGGCGATATTCACAGATCGTCAATAAATCGTAATATCATTGATACAGTGCGGTACCTCTATAATAGGTACCCCTTATATCTTGTGATCTAATGGTCAGAATTTTATAAAATTTTAAAATTAGATAGCTTTTAAAAAGATAAATACATTAAGCAAATAAAAATATTTTTTCGATTTTTTTTTGCAAAATCACATGACTTAAAATAAATTTAATTGGCTAATGCAATACTTAATGTTAATTAGAATTATGCACAATTTTTTATATAAATAATTTGATTCTATAGAATTTATATTTTTTTAGCAAGTTTTCCTGTAATTCCTTTTTGAGAAATAGGCATAATATAATTTGTAATAAATAAAAATTACCAAAATTTTTTTTAATTTTTTTTCAATAAAGTATGGGTAAGTTTATAAGCTAAAATGATTTATTTTAATAAGCACTATCAAATGATTATTTTTTTTTATGTTACACAAAAATCACTTATTCTCAAATTTTTCCCATCATAATAAATTACCTGAACTTCAAACTTATGTAACACTAGCAAAATTTTTTATTTTTTAATCTAACCTGATAAGTTTAAAAGCTTTTAATACTATGCTTTATTAAAATTATCGGTTAGAATTTTAAAATATTATTTTTTGCTAACATAACATCTTTTTGAAAATGTTACATTATGACTATAAAATTAGGTCAGTTATAGAGGTACCGCACTGTAGCAACTTATATAATATATCGTAGCATCATCATAACTAATTATATAAATAAAATTCAATAAATTGTTGATTGACATAACAAATTATGTAATAAAACTTTAATAAGTTATTAATAAATTAGTGTCTTCTTAACGACGGATATTATAATTACATTGTAGGCATATATAGAATAAATTTTAATTATGCTATAATAGCTTTTAAAATAAATCTTAATCATGTTGTGGCCACATATATAATAAATCATGTCAAAACATTATTCATGTATAAACTGAGTATTAGATAACTCAAATTACTGTCAATTTATTTGCTTGTAATTAGAGCTCCTAATGAGTTGAGTTGAGTCGAGTCACGAGTCAAAAACCTTAATTTTAAAGTACTATTTATTAAGTTAGAATATAATTAAACGAAAATTTACAATTATGCGAGTCAAAAATGCGAGTTTATGCGATTCATTTTTGGAGCTCTACTTGTAATAATTAATTGTAAATGTAAAATCAAAATAAACCATATAAAATACATATTAAATATCTTTAAAGAAATAAAGATTTTGTATATACATTTTATTTTCTAGATTGTGATCATCAATGCATTTATTTTCCTTAAAATAGTAAATAAAATGCATAGTACTTGTACAAATTATACTTATAGGAAAGACATGTCGCTGTCTATTCACAGACTGGAGGGTATTCCAGTACAGTTTGATTAATAATTTCAAATCTATTAACAGAAATAAAAGCAAACTGTTTGATTGTTGTATTAACGACTAAAAATTGACCATATAATTTAAAAACTTCTCTATCATCAGTAACTATGGTAAACAACTTTGATTCTTTAATAGAAAAAATTAAAATTTTGGAGTTAGTTTTGAAACTTACCGCCTATCCAATAAAAGTCCAAAGGGAAACTTACAAAAAAAATAATTCTTGATATTACCTTCAATATACAAAAAAATAACAAAAACATTAGCAAAATGTTTTATTAATATAATTAAAAAAATCCTCTTCACTAAAATTCACATGCATCTAAGAGCCAAAGAATCAACCATCTAAAAAAAAGAAAAAAAGATTTAGTAGCTGTTTTTAAAATATAAAGCGTAATTTTTCTTTTTTTGCATGAATAAAATAAAAAAAATGTCGTAATTTATGTAATATATTATAAATTTATATGAATAACGCAATAAAGTAATAAAGAAAATAAAAAAATTACAAAACTTACAAAAATACCATATCCAAAGAACTGAAAAGTCATCTAAAAAAGATAAAAGAGAGAGAAAAGGAAAAATATTGGAAAAGGGGAAGACGAAAGTGTAAAAATGGAAGAAAACAAAAATGTGAGAAATAGGGAAAGAGTAGAGTTAAAAAAAGTATAATTAATCATTCAATTATTATTAATATAATATCACGTGATTTACTTGATGAATTAAATTTTTATTGAAAAGTTATATGATGTCATCTGTTTAGTAATTCTTTCATTCGATATATTATAGGATTAGATGTTAAAGATATTTTTAGTTCTTTTACAATTTTGAAACATTTTGTTTATCACTTTGTATTTTTATAGGGATAATTTTCGTATTAGATGTGAAAAATAAAAATTTATTTAGATTAACTTTAGAAATTTAGGAAATAAACTTTATGATCTTGTATTTTTATATTTAAATAAATTACATTTAATATATTTTTCTTTTAACTTAAATACTTAAATATGCGTCTAATTTAATACTTAAAATAGTTTAAATTAATTAATAGCTTTTTAAAAATTAAATAGCTAAATTTAATACTTGAATTAAATTAAATAGCATACACGTTTAATTAAACAAAATAGCTTAAATTTAAATTTAAATACACATCTAATTTGATACTTAAATTAAATTAATTAATTAATTGTAAAATTTTATTAATTTTTATCACTTACAATTTTACAGAATTTATTATTATAATTTTATTGCTTATGATTTTACTGATACTAAAATTTACTATTAATTTTTATTATAAAAAAAAAAATAATTAAAAAGGTATTTGTATATCATGTGTGTTATGACTTATGACAATTGGATTTAGACTTTTAGTATATTTTGAACTAAAACTCTTTTAAAGGTTTTGATTAAAGTCAATAAATTTATGCATCCATATTTATTTATATTTTATTTATTATATGATGATGATGATGAATTGATGATCAAAAAAAATCCTAAATATTGATTATACTTTTTAANAGGTATTTGTATATCATGTGTGTTATGACTTATGACAATTGGATTTAGACTTTTAGTATATTTTGAACTAAAACTCTTTTAAAGGTTTTGATTAAAGTCAATAAATTTATGCATCCATATTTATTTATATTTTATTTATTATATGATGATGATGAT